GTTGCAGTGAAGGGGCTACTACAGGAAACCGGGTGCTCTGCGAACAGCTTGCCGACATGTATGCAAGCCTTCACCACGCAAGGTCTGAGAGACTGGCGTAAGGGACCACATCCTCCAGCTTGCCACGACGGTCACAGAAAGCACGTGCTGAGTGATGGAACAGCTGAAGCTCCCTTGTGGCCCTAGAAAGAAGCACGATGTTGAGCAATGCTGCAAAAAACATGTCATCCGGCGTTCCGTTAGCAAGGGCGAATCAGTAGCACCACAAGCAGTTGAGATGCAATGCTGCATCCACTCCCAACCGCCTGCAGCTCTGCACAAGGGACACCCAAAGCATTTGGCCATGCCATCACCATGATGGGTTGTCCGTAAGTTCACGTTTTGCTTATTGCCGGCGACGGGGCTACAAAATGTCAGCACACCAATCACCGCACACAGTACCTGCGTTGCAAGACGAACTCCTGTCTCTGCACCGCGGGCAATTCAAAACCAACTGCGACTGCGTGGAGCACACCGTGACGAAGTCACAACTCAACGTGCGGCACAAAGCAACGCACAACAAATGAATCTTCCAACAATCAGAGCTTACAGTTGCAGTGAAGGGGCTACTACAGGAAACCGGGTGCTCTGCGAACAGCTTGCCGACATGTATGCAAGCCTTCACCACGCAAGGTCTGAGAGACTGGCGTAAGGGACCACATCCTCCAGTTTGCCACGACGGTCACAGAAAGCACGTGCTGAGTGATGGAACAGCTGAAGCTCCCTTGCGGCCCTAGAAAGAAGAACGATGTTGAGCAATGCTGCTCCAACATGTCATCCGGCGTTCCATCAATCAACAAGTGCGGCGCGCCGCAAGCACTTGCGCCGCAAGCTGATCTGCTGCACCCACCGCCAGCCGCCCCTGCCTCGGGGCAGAATATGCTCAATTTCTTGGTCAAGAGGTCACCGTAATGGCCTATCCGTAATTTCAAGATCCACAAACACCCAGAGTGCTTACCTCAGACGAAGGGGCTTCTCAAGGCGTCAGCACACCGCACAAGGCACTTATTTAAAGCTTGCCCGCCTCTGCACTCGAATGTCAAGAGCGACTGCGTGGAGGCCGTGACGAGATCATGTCTCTCACGGCACAGAGCAACACACAACAAATCAATCTTCCAAGAGATGTTAGAGCTTACAGCCGCGAACTCGCAACTGCCTTGGAGTGCTGAGCATGCCTGGCGCGAGGCGTTGCAGCATCTAAGCCCTAAGGCGAATCCAAGGCTGTGACGTTGCTCCCTTCTAACGGTCCAGCGGAGTGTGACCTGCTGTGACATGGGGCATCTGCTGGCATCAAGTCGCAGCCAGGCTTCGTCGCGTCCAGAACCGCATCCAGAGGGTTGAACCAGAGCCTCGTCTGGATTGCACATGACCTCGGGTCCGGGAGGCTTAGAAGCTTTCTCTCGACAGACGGCTGATCGGGCGCTCGCGCCGCTCGCCTGCCGCCGAGAGGGACTTGTAACGCAAAGCAAAAGCAAGAGGCGCTTCAAGAGCATCACTTTGCGTCTCTCACCTGTTGGGTGACCCTTTTCCGTTTCCTCTCAGCGGCCAGGCAAAATGTTTCGCGTCCCTCGCCAGATGCGCGGACGCTTCTCGGGTGAGCTGGGCCCTGCTACGCCCTTATAGGCCTTTCAACAATGGCTTGCAAAGTTGCCGAGCGGCCTCCCTCCTGGTGCCTGAGGTTACGGCCACGGCCACGATGCTTCAGTGGCCGGACTCAATAAAAGAGAAGTTGGTCAGGCTCACGCATGTCACCACCGGCGGTCGCATGCTCGTTCTGATCAGCAGATCATCTGCAGCGACAGAACAACCTTGGCGTCGGGAGTTCGGCTGCCACGGGCATGCCTACTCAATGGCTAATCACGTGGTGCTCACGTGGTACCTGATGGGACTGACGGTTTGCGTTTAGCCGTGTGGGACGCAGCCGCTTAAGCAAGACAAGACCCTTACATCCCTCAACTCCAAAGCATAGCTGCAGTGCTATGTGTCGAGGTAGACACTCGGTGGTACTCTCTTCTGCAAAACAGAACCCCCGAGCTACACACACCAACATCCCAACCTAATGCAGCCGCTGTCCAGCTCTCGAACAAGATGCTAGCTGCATCTACATCAACTACTGAGTCTAAAGTCTGGCAGATGCAACTCTCGTGGCCCTTTCCGTGCGAGGACGAGGGCTGGGCTCTTTCATTATTCTGACGGGCCACTGCATGGCTCCACCACCTGTGCCTACAGAGAGCTCACAAATCCAAAATCAAGCGCTGACGACGGTGCGTAGTGAGGAGCTGGCCATGATGAGGGTCTGTTGACGGTGGTGAGAACTCAAGCCAGGAACGACTAGCTAACCAACAGAAATAGCACAAAGAGTGGCTGCAGAAAAGCCTTTGAGAAGACGAGTGCATCCCGTGGTGCTGTCTCTGAATGGGTTCGTCAATAACTTCCGGCAAGGCTTCAAGGCCAGATTGCGGCCTAAAGAGGCTTTCGAGACCATCATGCAGAACAACTCTATCAAAACTTCTGACACCAGCTCAAGAGCCTGGTAGTCAGGGGCCCTGGATCCGGCCATGTCAAGGAGAGCAAAGTGGCGCCAAGAATGCTTCGGCTTTGCAAATTAAACTTGGCTGCATCTGGGATGGCATCTGTCGCATCTCGTCAGAAACTTCTGCGCAAAGGCGGCGGGAAAGCAAGCTCTCCACGAAATCTTCTGCGTGCCGTTCACCCGGCCGCATTCCACTGCAGCTGTGCCTGCAACGCCAGATCACACGAGCACTGCGACGCGAACCTGGCTGTTGAGCAAAAAGCATTGCAGGATGCTCCACATTCTGGGCACATCATATGTTGCCAGCCTTAGCGCGGCTCATGCAAGGAGAATGAAAGCGTCGCTGCATGTCCACCCGACGGCGCCGGCTACTCACAGAGACACAAACAATGCCTTCATGCGGATTCTTGCCGCTGCATGAAGGCTCCGCAAGTTGCGGTAAAGCAGCACGTCATGTAGCATCACTCACGACGACTCTGGCACAGTTGCGGTAAGTGGCACGAGGCCTCTTCACCATCCAGATCTGACACTCAGACTGGAAGCGATCTGGCGAGCTTCGCCCAAACAAATCAGTTCCCGGGCATGGCTCGACAACCACCCTGGAGGTTCGTTAGCTAGGTCTGTAAGGGCCACATGTCCTCGGGCGCAAGGCTTGGGGTTTAAGCATCAGTTTCATCGCTTCGGGGTCCTTCTGCAGTGTGCCCCCAGGTTGCGCAGGGTCACCATGGCATTTTGAGGGCCTGAAGAGCTCTTTGGATCTAAGAACGGAAGCCGAAGTGGGTTCCGGCGGTGCAGACAAAGATGACCCGCCACCCTCAGATTGGCCAGGATCTTGCACATCATGGGCAAGAGAGACACAAACAGCCCCGCAGGTTTCAGCCAGTCCACCGGCCCTTGCGCTGCACAGCAATGTTGCATGGAAATAGCCTCTTCAGGACCAGACCAGCGAACCAGCGAAACTAACGGCGCAGCTTTTGCAAACACGAGTTGCAGAGATGGTCGCCGTGAAACTAGCGGCTAGCATCAGCACTACATCCAAGGGCCGATGCTGGTGCCTGATGTGAAGGTTGCCGTGTGGAGATTCGAGAAGGGCGCATACGCGATATTGATTGCAATTGCTGGGCGGCTGGAGCTTCCAGTCACTGACCGAATGTCAGCTCTCCGCAGCCTGGGCTTGGGGAGTCTCAGAGACATAAACTGTCTCGTGGAAGACGGTACAGGATGCAGGACTCCATGGCGCGGATGGGAAACCGCATCCGAGCCGAGGCCCCTAGGCACAGGCAGGCATACGGAGAGTGCCACGGTCACGAGACATTCTCAAGCTCTTGGACACAAACCCTCCACGGCAACATATTTGGACAGTCAGGCTAACACACGCAGAGCTGCGCCAACATTCACGCAGCGGCACCGCTTGTATCCCAGATTCAGGGCAGCTCACCTCATCGTCCTGTATTGTCGGCGCTGCGACCAAACATCAGCAAGGTCAAAACGAATACAAGGCTGTGACCAGCATGGTATGATGATGTCATCAAGCCTTCATCAAGCCGTCGAGTTGACCACACTAGCGTGCTCCCGAATTGCAACAACCCTGATAATTACAACACAAAGCCTCAAGTGAACACTGGGGCTTATGTGCGGGAAAGCATGCTCCTTGCATCAAGCAGAGGTACACGCTCAGGTGGCTGGACTCAGGTCACGCAAAGTTGTGATACTGCATGCCAGATTTGCTAACCATGCAGGCCGTCACAACGCCAAAGTCACCTTGCCAGCAAATTCCGCTCCGCCGAGCATGACCTTTGGCGGCTGCGGTTGGACACAGCACAGCGCTTGCCGCCTGTCAAAGCTGCCACGAGCTTCCTGAAAGAATCTTCAACGTGGCTCGCTTTGGAGCCACTGCGCTGACATCGGTCTCAAGAGCACACACTCATTCTACAATTGAATGATCTGCTGCTGGTGGTAGCAGCGGCACCAGAGCGTCCGGCCAGCACAGCCCGGGAATCCAGATCGTCTCACTGCACAGGGACTCTTAAATGATGCTTGCTTTTCTCGCGCTGCTCACCAGCATGCCGCCTGCACATCCAAGCCCAGCCACGTCCAGCTCTTCCCGTCTTGGGGGTCGTGAGTGCAAGCACGATATCGTCGTCAACACCACAAGCCTTTGGGAGGCAAGCAAACTACAGTGCGTCCCAGCGACAACGCTCCGAGAACACGTGCCTCAGCATTCCAACAGCTGCGCATGGTTTTGTACCGAACAGCACTTTAGACAAGTCCGCTTGGTAGCAAGTGTCTGCAGACTGGCATGCCCCCATGCGGGACAAACAGCTGCTGTGCATCTCGACACCGACATGTGTATTGCGCGTGGCGTGCATTTCATCCTGAGATCTGTCGCAAGCCCTAGATCAATGCGAAACGGATCAGCAGCAGCAGCATGCCCACGTACCTGTCACTCTCAGAGGCCGCTGAAGGGCAGAGGGCAGAGGGCGCCCCCCTGCCACAGACGCAGCACGGCACACGTGTGACAGGGCTGGCGCTGACAACGGCCACAACGCAGCACCGCGGCTTCAGACTGCCTTGCATCTCAGGAGGCCTTGCGGCAAGCCATGCAGGTTGCAAAGCAAGGTGCGAGCATGGAGAAGGAAGATCAAGCTTGCCTGCAAAGCAGCTTCAATTCGACGCCCGCGTTGCCCATGACACTGCAACGGGGCCTTATATGAAGAAAGCCCTGCATGACCACTGCAGGCACAAGCAGGCGAGAAGCTTCCGGAGGGGCATTGCCCAGGACCAGGCCGGCATTGGCACCGAAGCCTCCCTTCGAGCAACTCTCAGCCGCGCCCTGGCCGACGTGGCCGATGCGTCACAACGGAGAGTCGTTGAAGGATCCGCGGCTTGGCACTACTTCGCCTGCGAGCCAGGAGCCACCTGGAGCTCAATCTGCGTCGAGTTCGGAGTGCAGAAAGCATACTAAGGCTTCTAGATGGCAGCTTGGCGCAGATGCACAGAGCATGTGTAAGTTGCTGTCGTGCGTGTGCGTGAGCATCTCCATTCACGCAGCACAATCACCTGTACGCCTTCAGGGCAGGTGACCTCGTTGGCCTATCAAGCCCTGTCGTTCACAAGCCACACGGAGAAGCTTGCCCGTGTGGGTATAACCTTCGCTAGCAAGGTGTTGAGAAGCTTCACAGTCGCAATCGCACACGAATTGCAACAACCCTGATAATTACAACACAAAGCCTCAAGTGAACACTGGGGCTTATGTGCGGGAAAGCATGCTCCTTGCATCAAGCAGAGGTACACGCTCAGGTGGCTGGACTCAGGTCACGCGAAGTTGTGATACTGCATGCCAGATTTGCTAACCATGCAGGCCGTCACAACGCCAAAGTCACCTTGCCAGCAAATTCCGCTCTGCCGAGCATGACCTTTGGCGGCTGCGGTTGGACACAGCACAGCGCTTGCCGCCCGTCAAAGCTGCCACGAGCTTCCTGAAAGAATCTTCAACGTGGCTCGCTTTGGAGCCACTGCGCTGACATCGGTCTCAAAAGCACACACTCATTCTACAATTGAATGATCTGCTGCTGGTGGTAGCAGCGGCACCAGAGCGTCCGGCCAGCACAGCCCGGGAATCCAGATCGTCTCACTGCACAGGGACTCTTAAATGATGCTTGCTTTTCTCGCGCTGCTCACCAGCATGCCGCCTGCACATCCAAGCCCAGCCACGTCCAGCTCTTCCCGTCTTGGGGGTCGTGAGTGCAAGCACGATATCGTCGTCAACACCACAAGCCTTTGGGAGGCAAGCAAACTACAGTGCGTCCCAGCGACAACGCTCCGAGAACACGTGCCTCAGCATTCCAACAGCTGCGCATGGTTTTGTACCGAACAGCACTTTAGACAAGTCCGCTTGGTAGCAAGTGTCTGCAGACTGGCATGCCCCCATGCGGGACAAACAGCTGCTGTGCATCTCGACACCGACATGTGTATTGCGCGTGGCGTGCATTTCATCCTGAGATCTGCCGCAAGCCCTAGCTCAATGCGAAACGGATCAGCAGCAGCAGCATGCCCACGTACCTGTCACTCTCAGAGGCCGCTGAAGGGCAGAGGGCAGAGGGCGCCCCCCTGCCACAGACGCAGCACGGCACACGTGTGACAGGGCTGGCGCTGACGCCTGGATCGGCCATCAGCGGAAGCAGAGAAGTTTGCATCAACGCCCGCAAGTCTTTGTGCTGAATGAGCCCTCCACAATGGTGCCTTAGATTTATGGGTGACCAATGTGTGAGCATCGCATGGCCCGTCCCAGGGAGGCGAACAAGGCATCGTCGGATGGCATCGTTGCTCAGCACACATACAGAGGGGCTTGGAGTCTTCGAACCGCACATTCGGAGCCGTGCTGTAAACCCGTCCAAGATTCCATGATAGGCGCACACCAAAGGCAGGTGTATGTAGCCCAATATCATACTGGGTTGAGGGTCAGGAATCTACAGAGTGCACTGTCTACGTGCACTCATGGCGAGATGCAGATTGCCGATTCGGCGAGGAAGAGCTATTCCGTTTCAAGTGACGGCAAGCTTCTTCGAGCTCCCCTCTGCATCTGAAGATCTCTTGAAGCACATGCCCGATTCATCAGCGTGGCGGGACCCGCCTCAGATTACTCGGCTTGCACTCTGCACAGCACCCGTGCCCTGAGAACGTGCTTGGCCGGCTTTTCGAGCTGAGAGATGCAAGTTGCGTCTTCCAGCTCTCTGCGTCTAACTGACAGGCGCTGGTCCTGCGGGACACCTACGTCTGCAGCCGGGCTGAGGCGGGAGACGCGGAGCTTGTAAATTACATCGTTTCTGCTGCGGTGAAGTAAACGCCAAAGAACTGAACTCTGTTTTCTCCAAGGTGTTTCAGGTTGTAGGGCTCTGGAGTCTGGGATCAGAGTTGCCTCTGCATACACAACAGGTATCCCTGTAAGGCCTACAGCCCTGTGGTCCTCCCTTATTTCGTCTCCCTTATGGAACCTTGAAAAAGGCACTGAGAATCTGTCGAGAAACCTCGGCCCTAACACCGTAACACCCTAGACCCCATGACCCTAAAGCCCAATAATCCTAACGCATCCAACATGTTGGTGTTCGCCGTCTTCCAAAGCCTGTGTCAGAACTCGAGCAAAAGCGCAGCAGAGCTGGATAGATAGTCTGAGCAGAAGAAACGGAAGGAACAAGCTGATTCATGCATCCGCAAATGCATCGCAGGCTTGCGCAAGTCCTGGCTAAGCAAAGGATTGCGATGCCTTTCGTGGCAGCTTCTGGCAACATCTCCGTGTTGGCAATCCGGTCACAGAGCAATCCGGTCACGGAAGGTGCCACCTTGCGGTACATCGGTGACACGTGAAGCCATACACAATCAGCAGAAGACCAGCAGGAGAAAATCGGACTCATCACACCTTGGCCAGCACCCCAAGATTGAGTTAAGTCTGAACTGTTATACCAGCTTCCCCCTACCACATGCCTCCTTCACAATCTTAGAGCAAAGTCTGAACCCACTGTGGCATGGTCAAGTGTTGCAAGAGGAAGATTTTGCGACTGAAGACCGGTCAAACGCTGCATGGACGGCCATTGAAGGGATCGAAGGGGCACCAGTCTCGGCTAAGCAAGGGATTACGGTGCGTTTCGTGGCGGCTTCTGGCAACATCTCCGTGCTGACAATCCTGTCACGGAAGGTGCCGCCTTGCATTACAGCCGTGAAATTTGAACTAATATGCAATCAGCAGAAGACTTGTCGTCGCACCAAACCCGCCAGCCAGATGCTGCATGGACTACCGTGAGATCAACCGCAATGACAAGACGGTCATACCCATCAAGAAACCTGTACGGCTTGACAGGATCGAAGGGACACAGCAAAACTCGCAGAGTACTCTGTTGCTCGACTTACTTTAAACAACCAGCGGCACAGAAATTCGTCCGAGCCCAGCGGCACATCAGCTCCAATGGCTCCGGCACCACACTACGGGACTACGGGACCGAGCGCGAATTTGAGCAGACACAATCCCCAAAGGATTTCTGAGTGCTAAGCCGTCTGAGACGAAAGTTACTCCTGCAGAATCTCTGGCAGTCTTGCAAATCGGACCGGCATGCCATCGAGGAGTGATTCTGGCGTCCTTTCCGTACTCCGATGAGCGGCGGATGTCTTGAACGTGAGCCGAAGGGGTCCGGCTGCGCCACTGGAACATGTAAAGCAAAGTAAAGGCAGTGTAAAGTTGCGCAGAACCTGACGAGCTAGACATGAACTTCTCAGGCAAGCTGATGCAGCGGCCACTCCACGGACTGCAACGGCCCGGCCGGCGCGTAACACATCAGGACGCCCCGTCGGTGCGGAACCCTCCCCCGCATTGCACTTCCACGGCTCATTCCCCGTGGCGTTCATAGCGATGTCTCTTTTGTTCCGGGCGCTTACGTGGCCCAGGGCCCTTAGGCTCCAGGGAAGCCCTTAGGCGGCGCCTTTAAAAGGACCCTGTCCCATAATAGCTTTCCATGGTTACAGCAGAACATGGGAAAACTTTTCTGGCATTGAGGCGCAGGTCGGCCGGCAACGCTGTGAATGCGGCGTTTTGCTGATGTCAGCTCGGTTTTGTCATGTCCAAGTGCACGTAGAAAAACACTTAGTCAATTAGCGCCTTTACTTTGCGGGGATTTTTACATTGACGGACAGTTTTGTCGGACGCAGCATCTCGAACTCCCCCGCAAAGTTGTGGCTTCCGCTTTAGTTCGCACCTAGCCTCGAGGTGTGCCAGTGTCATATTTCCGGCTGCAGTCCACGGACGTGTTCTGCACAAGTGGCCGCTTGTTATTCGCTCTGTGATTCTTCAGCCCCCACTAGCGAACAGCTTGTTGTGTTCGACGTCTCACCGACTCAGGCCCACTGCATCCAATTTCGAGCTCTTCTTAGCGACTGCCACTGTGAACGCCTCCATCCCGATGCAGCACCTGATAGCCTGCAGGATGTGCCAGGCAGGAGCCCTGAGTCACCATGCCAACCAAACTTCTCTGGATAAGGAGCTCCACCAGCTACCTGTCATGGCGGGGGCTTGCTAAACTCCAGCTTGGCGAGTCTCGCTTGGACATGCGCGCTCCATGCGCAGAGCCGCTTCAGAGGCGCGGATTCCGCGGATCGCTGGCCTCAACTTGGCATATGCATGGATCCTAGCAGCTTGGCATGCAAGTCTCGCTGGAGCACATGAACGACCGCACACACAGTTCCGATTGCGGCTGCAAACAAACGGCTCGAAAATCCACGAGTCTCCAAGAATTAAGTCGCTGAAGTTGCTGCTGACAACTGTGGCAGCACGCTGCCAAGAGCAGTTGAGCGGATGCCAAGAGCCCAAGCAAGGTGAATGGGAAGATGGTGCCGAGAGTTTCAGGGAGAGTGCTTTCCGGCCGCGAGCCTCTGGCAGAAGTGGACAAAGGAAGTGGTGCATCGACTTGCACCCAGTTTCTTGTGAACGGAATTTGGTGGGGAAGATGGTCCCATTGAATAATGCGGGCGGTATAGGTGATTGCAAGGATCTACGAACAGAATACAGTGCATCATCTAGGCCTTGCAGCTTCAGGCCGTTAGGTCGCAATCAGCAACCCTAAAGCTGCAGCCATTTCATCGAGGGCTAATGAGACGAGATGACGCTTCGAGAGAGTTTTGGGCTTGTTCAAGGAACGGGAACAAAGCAAGCAGCACATCACGTTGCTGCAGGTGTCCGTCTACCGTTACCCCCGCCAATAGAATCTATAGGAGTATTTCAGGGATGTTTGGAACGGCACATCCGGCAGTGATCAAGCTGAGACAGAAGACTGTCACTGTGAATCGTTTGGCCCGATGCGATCCTGCGCAGTGCTAATTGCACCCCATGGATCTTGCGACACTCGCAAGTGTACAAGTCCCGCTCTTGCCTTGCTTGGAGGTGTCAAGAAGACTAGCGTCGCGGTGGAAGGCTATGGGAGA